CAGTGAACACCCTGAAAAATGTAAGCAAACTGCATTTATCTGCTCAAAAAGGAGCTCCTCTTGCAGAACATAAGGTTTTAAAACAGCTCTACTTGCAAAAGATGAAGGACACCCTAGTGAGAGACTCCTGTGCAGTTTGTAGTTGTTCTTGGTACCCCCCCACCCCCCCCGAGCACTGACAGAACTCTTGTTGCTGAAGCGGGCTTGGTCAGGCCTGATGTTGGCAGTGAAGTCATTACAGCATTCAGCTTCTGCAGTGACACAGGAGGCCTAGCTGCTCCAGAATTTCTTTTTCAGAGTGAGGAAGTTCAAAGATCAAACAATCAAAACCCCAAACAAACTCCTCCAAGCCCATAAGAGTTAAGTGACACTATTAGCCCAAAACACTGTCGTTCTCCAGTCCCACAGGAGTTCAGATAAATGCAGAGGTGAGGTGAAACTCATCCAGGGTTAAAATTCAGCACACACACACATACACACAGTCTTTACGGTTGCTCCTGGAACTATCATCATTTATCTCACAAATGGTTCAACATATGACTCCATAGGCCATAATTTACCCTGACAAATAGGCATCATAGGAGCTGAACAGCAGCAGTTCTGTTTTTTAAATCAAGCAGAACAGAGAGTGTCTTACATCGCTGAAACGACTATACTCAGTGATCAAGCTTAGTATCAAGTCGATATTTTTCTAATGGCATGATGACATTGAGAGGTTTATATTCACAAGGAATCTAAATAAGGTCAGATCCCCTTCTGCTGGGAAGCCTTCCTTGATTAGCCTAAGGGAGAGCATGGTTCAGAGTTGCCTCTCTGGAGACCTGCAGAGGCCGAGTTGCCAAGGTATCCTAGGCAACCATGTAGCTCTCTCATCTGCCTTTCTACCTGCCCTTACAGCTTCATCCTGGGGAGAATCCTTGTCTGTATGCCCTCCTTATGGGCAGGGCTGTCTCTCCGCACTGTGTGCTTGGAAAGGCTCATAAATGACCCAGCCATTGAACTGGGTACCTCTGTATCCTGCACCTTCTAAATTGAACCCAGTTAGGTAGTTTTGATTTAGACGAGGGGGGCTACCAAATCCATACAGAGGATTTCCTTTTCTTGTTTTTATTTCTTTTTTCTCTGACTGTCACCTTCTGCCACACCCAAGTGCCCCATGAGAATGGGACAAGTAAGGGTCTGGAGTGGGATAGAAATGGTGAATTAACTCAGAAGCCCGGGTGTGGCCAGCAATAATGTTAATATTTTAAAGCAGAACTTCCCGCTATTACATGCCCTTCTCTTTTGATAAGAACCTATCAGTTCCAAGTTCAATTCTGAGTGGCAGGACACTATACTATATAACCAGGAAAGTTTGATTTAACATTTATTTATTTTATGAGCATACACGTTTTCTTACAGATATATCAAAATTACTGGCATCAGAAGAGTTGGTTCTGCATTGTGGAAAACAAAACCTTCTGCTGTAGTACATTTTTCCATTAAAAAAAAAACCATAATTTTTTTTCCTCTAGAGTCTTGCCAACAACACTTTAAATGTAAAAGCTAGATTTGCAAGTAGGCTTATATTCATATTTAGAGAGCATGCATATTCAGGGGCTTATTATTCAGGAAATATTTGGTTATCTTCAGACTAAGTAAAACTTTTGGCTAAAAATAAGAGAGGTAAAATATAAATAGTGAGAAAAGTTAGGGAGCAGGCACAGCAGTCGCAACAAGAATAGGATGGCAAGGGTGAGAACTAAGCCTTTTTTTGTTTTGCTTTGGGTCTTTACTCTACCTGAAATTCCATCCCAGCTGAACACTGACTGGGTGCCTCCCATACACGAGATAGTAAAACCTAACTTGTTTTAGGGTTTTAGTGTTGGTTAGGCAGGACATAATGGACCAATATGTCGGTCCCCAAACATCCTCTCCTCCAACATCTTGAAATTACTACAGAATCGAGGGTGTAAACTCCAGTTCAAGGGGTAGATCTTGAATAAGCCTGTCGTATTAGTCGCCTCGCCCCTGCTGATATGATGGACACAAACACCCATGATTAAACGTCAGTATGGAATTCTTTCTGCTACAGTGGTCACATTCGGTAAGAATAATGAGAGATAAAAGGAAATTTCCTGAGGGTTCTGGGAAAACTTCCCTGGCTCCTAAAACAGAACAGACAGTATTCTATCCATAGCCCTCATTGTCATGGGTAGGAGGCCCCATGCTGCAGCCTCTGCTGTTTGTCTTGACATAAAAATTTAATCACAGCTGGACAGTGGTGGCACACGCCATTAATCCCAGCACTTGGGAGGCAGAGGCAGGCAGATCTCTATGAGTTTGAGGCCAGCCTGTTCTTCAGAATGAGTTCCAGGACAGCCAAGACTACACAAAGAGACTCTGTCTCAAAAACCAGAAAGAAAAAAGTTTAATCACAAATTGGCAGAGTCATAGAGAGAGGGATAAAGAAGCATACCTAGGACTAATGAGATGGTTCATCCAGCAAAGGTGCTTGCTACCAACCCTGACAACCTGAGTTTGATCCCCAGGACCCACATGGTGGAAGAAGAGCACTGACTCCCACAAGCTATCCTGTGGTCTCTCCACACTATCCTCCCAGTAAGGAAGAAAAAGAAAAGAAAGAAATAAAAAGAAAGAAAGAGAGAGAGAGAAGGAGGAAGGGAGGGAAGGAGGGAGGGAGGGAGGAAGGAAGGAAAAAAAGAAAGAAAGAAAGAAAGAAAGAAAGAAAGAAAGAAAGAAAGAAAGAAAGAAAGAAAGAAAGAAAGAAAGCTTTACCTAATGAAATCTCTCCCAAGCTTATGTGAGAGCTTCACTTTTCAACACAAGTCAGTAGCCCCTTCCTGTTGTTTAAGGAGCCGACTTTAGTCATCTTCCTTGATAGAGGTGGTGAGCATATTGCTATCTTTAACGCACCTCCTAATATGATGAAAGGAGAAAGCAAAGGCCAGCAGGCCCGTAATGAATAATGATAGGATGCAGATAATATAAGCATTGTCAGTTGGAGACTTAACCAAGTTCACCAGAACGGATTAAAATCCAGGAGATAGGCAATTGCTTTTCTAAGTTCTAGTTCAAAGTAACTCTTCCCTTTTCCCTTTGTAGCTCTTTGGATACTGATCCAAACCCTAAGTACTTGTCCTGACACTCAAGCTAGACTTGAGTTACTGTCCCTAACCTCAAAAGTCCTCTCTTCCTCTTCTCCATCTCCTTTGTCTGGGTACCTGTTGGGTTGCCCTGTCATTGTTGTTGTTTGTTGCTGGGGTTTTTTTTTTTTTTTGTTGTTGTTGTTTTTACCCACTTCTCCCAACTGCTAATTAAATGGTCATTCAACAATAACAACAAAATCCTAGAGGACAAATTGTGACCATTAAATAAAAGAAGTTTAAGTCCTAGGTTAGAGAATTCCAGAGTCAGAAGGGATCACAAGTCTTAGAAGTACCTCAAGATTTCTTGGCTAGATCAAGTTCTGAGAGGTCAAGTGACCTGTACAAAGCCTGGCCAGGCAAGCTAAGCAGGCTGGAGGACCGGGCTTTCTGGAATTCAAATGGGTTCTTTGTGCTACGCTGAATAGTTTCCTTTTTGAAGCTGTGTAATGAAATAGGCAATTGGTATTTTAAAATGTCAGCATAGGAAGATGAGTGAGGAAAACACCGCATTTTTATTTCACAGGGATTTGAGAAACTCATAATAGAAATTTTGGATATTTTGTTTTTAAATAAGACTGTAGCCTTTACTAAAAGGTTGAGCATATGTGCCCGCGTGGAACCACCTGGGGCGGCAGTGCTGCCAAACGCCACGCTCATGGAAGTCAATGAGATCCAACCCTTCCTTGCCCTAGACTGTGACCTCCCTCTCCGCTGTCAGACAGCTGGGTCCCCTTCAACTGAGACGCCACACCATAATCAACAAGGTCAAATGCCAGGGTTTAGTCAGACCTGTAGTGTATTCATTCTTCCTGGCTCCCCCCCCCCCCCCCACTCTTTCTCTGTAGTGTAGCTTGCTTCCTCATATTCTGAGGTAAGAGAGTACCTTAGCCCCCACCACACCCCTCTCCCCACCCTACCTCTGTGTGCTAACACTACTATGTACATTCCCAGAGTCAGGTGGTCCCGGCTCTGCCTTGGGAGTTTTATTTGAATTGCTCTGAGATCTTAAAATGCAGTGTTGAATCTTGGAGACTCCAGGTTACTGTCACTAATTATTTCCCTGCTTGCCCTTGGGTTTGCTGTGGAGATCAGAAGAGCCAAGAGTTGTGAAAGCAGCAGGCGAATTCTACAGCCCTGCTCTCAGGATCTGAGTCTTCAGTCTACCCAACAGGGAGCCAGACGCAGCCCACTAGGCTAACTTCCCTAGATTGGCACTAGGTTGCTGGTGACAGGGGGACCTACCATTGCTTCATTTCTTGTAACCTGTTGTGTAGATATTGACAGTGATATGCAAAACTCTGGCCATAGAGTGCCTTAGATTTATCCAGTAACCTAAAACAATAGGCCAACTCTGCATTCTACCATCTCTTTTAAATTGTTATGCATTATTTATTGTTTGCCTTTTAAGAATTTATATGCTCTGTGTGTGTGTGTGTGAGAGAGAGAGAGAGAGAGAGAGAGAGAGAGAGATTAGAGGACAACTTGAGGGAGTCCATTTTTTTTTCTTCTACCATGTGAGTCTCAAGGATTAGGTTGTCAGGCTTGGCAGAAAGTATCTTTACCTGCTGACTATCTTACTCATCCCTTTTATAGTGATGCCCTAGATGCAGTAAGACATATAAAACGCCAAGGGAAAACAGCGTGAACAGCCTAGACTAATGAAGCCCATTTCTAGATGGTGCCAGCCCTGTTGGACTTTTTAGCTAATAGCATGGGGGCGGGGGAAGCGCAAAGAGCTACCACGGAGGTTAACAAAGGACATGGAACTGTTCCCTGAAGCCTGGCATGCATGTTCTGGCCAGCAGATCCCTCTCTTCTCCGACCTCTTGTGAAGATTCTGTTACCGTGAGTTCAAGAGCCATGCAGCATGAACAGCTTAGCCAGAACAGCTCTTTCGATCTACCCTCCTTGTATTCATCTGTTTTAGGTTTTATTGCCTATGCCTGTTTGAAAGTATTTGGAGCAGTTTACACCAATATGAGTGCTTTCCAAGGATAAGGGGGAATGAGTTTGGGGCAAAACTTATAGGAAAGGGAAATACGATGATCTGGATGGGGGTGGGGGTTAGTTTAGCTAGTAAAATATGAGCCATGCAAGCTTGGGGACCTAGATTTGACCCCCTGCACCCAAGTACAAAAGCCAGGTGTGTTGGGAAACATCTGTAATCTTAGTGCTGGGAAGGCTGCGCTGATAGATCCCTGAGCCCTCTGGCCAGCAAGCCTAGCTTTATTGGGGAGTTGCAGTCCAGTGAAAAACCCAAGCCCAAGAAACAAAAACAAGGAAACAGAGTAGACTGCAACTGAGAAACAACCTCCGTAACAGCTTCACTGTGTTGTCCAGGCTGGCCTCAACTTCATGGCAATCCTCTGCTTCAGCCACACGAGCGCTGGGAGTACAGCTGGGAACCCAAGGTCAGAATTTGAATATTTACTTTTAAAACACCTGTCATTTACCCACTGAGCCTTGTATTCAGGTTGCTTAGCTTCTCCTGTGATTTGCTCATTTACGTGTTCTATTATCCCGTGTTTATCGGGTAACATCTAAATTCACAGGCTGTGTTTTGCTCTCCCAGAAGCTATTGGGAAGTCTGCTACCCGTGGTAATTTGCTGCCCTAGGCAACTGCATGTTTGGACTCCGTTCTCCCAGCTGGAGTAATTGTTCCGACTTATTTGTATGGTAAGTTGTTTCTTAGATCCTTGGATGCCAATTCTCAGAGCTCACAGGGTAATCCTTGGTTTTATTTTTATTTTTGTACTTAGCAATTATGTTCTGTAAACTAGCTAATCGGAAGAAAAGTGAGCTGATCAGATTGGGAGAAGGGTGTTTAAATTATTGTCATAGCATGTTTATGTGTAAAGTGCTTGGATGGAACACTCTAGTTTTGTTCAGGAATGGGACTTTATCCTCAGCTCCCTTCTCTCTTCAGGTGTTCTGTGTCATTTATTTTTCTGTGGCAAGTTAGGGGAGAAAGGGTTTGTTTTGGCTTACAGTCCATCCTGGTTGGGAAGGCATAGTAGCAGGCACATGAGGCTGATCCTCTGCACCCAGGAAGCAGAAAGAGAGAGAAGAGAGAGAGAGAGAGAGAGAGAGAGAGAGAGAGAACAGGAAGTGGAGCCAGATGGAGGGACAGGAAGTAGTCAAAGAACGGCAATGCCACTAAAGAAATTTGACTGAGCAGTGTCTACAACCATTGCCTGTGATGTATATTTTTTTAAGTTACCATCTGCCTGCTAATAATGTTTTAAAAATTAGAACCCGAATTCGACCCCTCCAGATTGTTTGTTTAAAATTATTTGGTCTATCTAACCAAGTGGTGAGAAATTACCAGGAGCTCAGAGCGAAAACTCCATAATTCATTCACACAGACTTGAGGGTTTAAATTAGGCAAACATATCATCACATTTATTTTAGTCAGTTTTCTTCTCTTGTTTTGATCTGCTGTTTGACTTTTTGCCTTGCCAACCCAGATTCAACTGTCTGCAAAGACATCTCGATATCACTTAAAAATCAGCTCTTTTTCTTCAGCTAATCTTGTACTTGGAAGAATTAAGACAATATTGTCTAGTTGTACTGTTGTACTCATGTGCAATCCACAGAAAGCTTTTATGTGGCTAATTAGGTTTTCTGCAACAATGTTCCCAGTGAACATATGCTCTTTCAAAAATGACAATAATTCCATCAATTAAAATATTTAGTCTCTGTGATATAGAATATGTACAACTCACACGGGATACATTTTAATATGTTTGAGGGATTTCTTTTTCTTTTTTCTTTTTTTTTTTTTTGTTTTTGTTTTTTGTTTTTTGTTTTTTTGAGACAATCTCTCTCTTTACTTCTAGCTACCCTGAAATTCACTATGTAGAATTTGAGCCAGGCTGGCTCAAACTCACAAAAATCTGCCTGCCTCTGCCTCCTGAATGCTGGGATTAAAGATGTGTACAACCATTCCTTTAAAATGCATATTCTTGTCAATCAAAAGAGTTTCATTGAGTTGTGCAGGTTAGGAAAAGAAAGTATGAATCTGTGAAAACTGATTTCTAACAGACACAGTCTTCTTTGTTATGGCTGTAACAAAATACCCAAGGCTGGGGTGACGTATAAAGATAGTAGGTTTACTTGGGCTTGTGATTTTAAAAGTCGAAGAGCATGGCACCAGCATCTGTTCGGCTTTCTGTGAGGACCGTGTGCTATCTGTCTGAGAAACAAGAGTGTGCAAAGAGAACTAAAGTGTAAGACAGGCTGCTGGTGGTGAGATACCAAGCTTGTTTTGTTACAGCAGCTCTAATGAGAACTAACCCATTCTCATTGGAGCTACATCAACTTTTGAAGGAATGGACCCCACCAGGGCATAAATTACTTCGTAAAAGGTTCTACCGCCTCCCAACACTGTTATACTGATGACCAAACCTTCACGTGAGTTTTGTCAGGACGATCACAATGTTTGCCATGGTTCCCCCCCCCATCTTCTCCATCTGTCACTACAAACTTAGAGGTAAGAAATATCAACTCCCATGAAGCCCGTATAACCCAAGAGTGGTTCTGTCTATCTTTAAAATAAATTCTAGAACTTTCTTCATCTCTAGAAGTCTCGTATCAGCGGAAATCTGCAAGCCTCTAGAAAGTAGAAGAATTCATATTAGTTTATAGGCACAGATTAAAAAAAAATACTAAAATGTTCATTAAGTCCTGAAGTCCTATCACTGTGCCCTAAGGTAGGATTTTAAAATTCAGATTTAACCACCGGAAGTATAATTTGCCACAAACCACACCAACAGAGATTTCCAGATGATGACACCAAAGCCACATCTATTTTATTCAGTTTTAGGATGTTCAATTTCATTGGCCAATTTGTTTTCTCCATTTAATCAAATACCATAATACCCAAAGTCAGATAATACCCAAAGCCAGATTTTTCACTTTCTTTCTGTTCTAAAAGGTAAAACAGACATCCTAACACTAGTTTGAAGAAATAAGAAAATATGAAGACCTCATGTTATGCGTTCAGTAACTATATTTCTCCCATTATTCTTTTGATCAGTACATAAAGAAAATAGGTGGAAACTTCCTTCGAAACTCTAAGTTGGAGTATGCCTGTAGTGGTATTTATTTTGGGAAAGAGAAAGTGTCTCTTGTTGCTTTCAAAAGATTAGGAGGAATAAAAAGATTCAAATTCTATCAGCTATTCGTATCTATCATTTGATATTACTTACTTTTCTGCTGCCTATAAATCACCCACAGATCTATTACCCATCATTCTCTGTTTCTATCTTTTAACTGTTTTCTATTGCTATTCTTACCCAAGAATAAAATTTTTATCCTGTAACTGTTTCATTTGCTCATGGCCAGTGGCAAGGGTCAAAGACAGTACCACAGGGATGACAAAGAGGAAACACTGAACTAATTCAATAGCCAAAATTTGATGTTGCTTTTAACTGAAGAAGCAGCAGCAATCTTGTAAGATTCAACGTAGTGGATGCCGAGTCCAGACTCAGCCAGGTTAAAGATTTAAAACCAAAGCTATCAACCTGCCTCCGTTTCCTCTCACACGCTTCTACGTTGAAAAAGCACATGATGAATGATGAACAGTAGGCTAGAAAATGGCGTTGAAAGTTTGGACCTGTAATTGATTCTGTACAAAAATCAGTGTGTTGCCATTTCTCCTTTCTCAGAAGCATTTATGCTCAAGAGGCATCTTCTAGATATAAAGTACAAGTAAATAACAAATAATGCATATTTTTTAAAATTATGCCTATTTTTTTTTTAATGTGAAAGCCTTTTAATGATGAAACATTTGAATACTTTACTTTTACAAGAACAGGCTATTCCTCTATTCCTATGGCCTTCAGCCACGTTGTTATGTGTTGAGGGGGGAGAAGAAGCCGATTTTGAAGAGTATTTTAACAAGGTAATTTTATACCTTCCTTTTTTCTGTTTCTGCATCTTTGTTGGTCACCTATCTGATGGATCTTTCTCTTGGAACACTGCAGCCTCCCTGACAAGAGTAAGAAGATAGCATACTGTAATTATTGCTGTCTTTGAGGCCTCGGTTGTTATATTCCTATTGATGTGACTTTCATACTAAACAGCAACCGTCTATTACAGTGTGTAAGCTTTGTGCACCGGGACAGACTGGCCTTCAGCCTGCTAATGCAAGCGGGCCATGCCCTCCAACACACAAGCACTGCTCACTGAGGTTCAGAGGTTTTTGCAGATGTGACATCTTTCAGACAGTTTTATCTGCGCAAGTTTCCCAAATCATACACTCAGGCAAATTATCAGCAATCGAGGGTCCACACTGTTCCCAGCTGGAGCTCCTCTCAAAAACAGGCTCCGGCATTAGCAGGTTTTCTGAAAAGGCTCCCCATGGCACCTCCGCTGCAGAGGGTGTTAAGCCAAACTGCTGCTGATATGGAAACCGGCTGTTTGAACTGTAACTCAGTTAGATATGTTAATAGAGGAAGGCCATGATATCGTGATGCAGGAAGTGACTAAACATTTAACGCTTATTACTCGGCAGTATTCCTGGCCCTGGCAAGGTGCTGCAGGTGGTACTGTGTGGGTGAGGGCAGTAAACCAGGTCGGGGAAACTTTGAAGGGACCGGTCCTCTGTCTTTCTTGAGTCTCAGACATGATAAATATTAACTTGTTCAAGATCCGGCTTCATGGCAAATTGTTGACACGATTCGTGAAGCGTTTTGCCACACCTTTAGAAAGGAATTCTTCCCAGTATCCGGAGATGTTTATTATCCCGCTTCCTAAAAAGCCATGAGAACTCATTAGGCGTGGAAGAAGCTTCGTAAAGCTGATGGAATTTGGACCTTTAATGACGCAAAAGGAAGCATGCGTGGATTTTGCAAGTTTAGAGTGATGACTTTGTGTTTTCCTTAGTCTCATCTTTTATTTTATGATGATTATTTATTTATTTATTTTCCTTATTTGTTTATTTATTTTCGCATGGTGCTGGGGCTTGAACCTAAGCCTTTGCATGTGCTAAACAAGCACCCTGCTACTGAATGGCATTCCCATGACTTTAATGTTTTATTTGTGTTTGTGCACATGTGTGCGTGTGTGTGTGTGTGTGTGTGTGTGTGTGTGTGTGTGTGTGTGTGTG